TGTTGGAGGACATCATCAATGAAGATCCTGAGCTTTTGGGGTGGCGCCTGTGGCTCAGTGAGTAGAGTGCTGGCCCCATATACTGAAGGTGGCGGGTTCAAACCCGCTCCTGGCCAAATGCAACAAAAAAGTAGCCAGGCCTATGGCAGGTGTCTGTAGTCCCAGCTACTCGGCGATTCTCAAGAGAATCGCCTAAGCCCAAGAGCTGGAGGTTGCTGTGAGCTGTGATATAACAGCACTCTACTGAGGGTGACAGAGTGAGACTCTGTCTCTAAAAAAAGACAAAGTTCAAGATCTGGTTTTTTTAGAGATGGAGTCTCACTTTATTGCCCTCTTTAGAGTGCCATGGGGTCATGGCTCACAGCAGCCTCCAAATCCTGGGGCTTAGGTGATTCTCTTGCCTCAGCCTTCCGAGTAGCTGGGTCTGCAGGCGCCCACCACAAGGCCCGGCTATTTTTTTTGTTGCAGTTTGTCTGGGGTCAGGTTTGAACTCACCACCCTCAGTATATGGGGCCAGTGCCCTACCCACTTAGCCACAGGCGCTGCCCAGATCCTGAACTTTTTAACTACATAAATTATTGTTGATTTAGTATTATTGATTAAATGTAATTCATTTAAGGCAAAAATCAAAAGTGAAGCTTGGGTGCAGAGTTTGACGTTGAAGTCGTTGGTGAAGTCATTCCCGCACCTCGCTTTCATATGAAATAGGTGGAGCTGGCTCGGCACCTGTGGCTCAAGTGGCTAAGGCGCCAGCCACATACACCTAAGGTGGCGGGTTCGAATCTAGCCCAGGCCACCAAACAACAATGATGGCTGCAATCAAAAATAGCCAGGCATTGTGACGGGTGCCTGTAGTCCCAGCTACTTGGGAGGCGGAGGCAGGAGACTCGCTTGAGCCCAGGAGTTGGAGGTTGCTGTGAGCTGTGACAGCACAGCGCTCTACCCCAGGGTAACAGCTTGAGACTCTGTCTCAAAACAAAGAAGAGGGATAATTGAGTTAAAATAGGAGTAGAGAATGTATGTTTTAACCTTTTTATTTGAAATAACATTATAGAAAACTTGTAAGAATAATATAAAAAACTCCAACATATCTTTCTCCCAGATTCTCCTGTTGTTAGCTTTTGACCACTTGTTTTATCTTTTATTTGGAGAGAGTGTGAAGGGAACACTTCCGGTGTTTACAACAGGTAAAGCCTGTTTTGTAGGCCTTACCTCATTTAATATGTGTAACAACCATTAACATATAGTTGTCTCCACTATATAGAAAGGAAACCTGGGACTTAGGGAGATTAGATCAGTTGCCTGAGATCACACAGCAGGTGTGTGTCAGAGGTGGCACTTAAACACAGGTATGTTTTATGAGAAAGTTCCTCTTTCTCACCATCTTCCTTTATTAGTACATTTAGAGACCTGCATTCTAGGTTTTGTTGCTAATGTCGGTATACCCATTGGCAATTTATTTTGCAGTTGTTACTCACCTTTCCCTTCTGTTGATGGAACCCTTTGTCCCTGGTCCTAACTTCCCTTGCT